TAAAAAAATAATTTTTGCCCAAAGTATTTGGGCAATTTCGGCTACTAATAGAAGCAGTTTCGGCCAGAAACCTTATTCTTGATGGCTAACCTATCACTGCATACAGCTTCTCAAAGATATATAATTAAATCAAGAATGTTCTTTATGTCATCCCTGTTCAAAGGTTATAAGATGCAACATCCTGATCATACACACAAAGAATTGCTATTATATCATCATTATGGAAAAGGTTTTCAATACTTGGATATCAAATCTATATTGAGTATTTATTTTAAGAAACTATCAAGCATCCAGAAATATCAACATTTTCTTTTTGAAGTTGGTGTTGTCAAAGCTCAAGAGGCTGTCAATGAAACTTTTACTGAATTCAATTTATTGAAAACTAATGCCTTTATAATAATATCTGCCCATTGTAAGGGATGAATTTAAAGATATTACTTGTCCCAATATAAAATTTTACTAAAATAAAATATATCATGGTAGTAAATACAATAATAAAAAGTAAAAAAGTAAAAGAAATAATCAACAATATCAAACAAGAATAATGAGAATCAAATAATTTAGAAAGATTAGAAGATTGAGAAGAAAGATTTATTAATCAAACCGAACAATTACATCAAGTTGAAAAGGATTTAGAAAGAAAGCACTAAAGCTCCTAACGGGTCGAGTTCGGGTTAATAAGAAAATTTTGCGATTTACATAAATTCAGATAATAATAATTAATTAAATATAAAAGGCGAAACAGTTATAGTAGTTTAAAAGCTGCAATTTGTGTTATGCGAGACGCAAAACACAATTCATGATGCAAGAGATGTAGGACGTAATTCGCGATGCAAAGGCAAGACGTAATTCAAGACAATTTGTGACACAATACATAATTAAAATCACAAGGCTAGTGGATGATGGCCATAGTTTTTGCGGCGAAGTTGGCGAAACCTAAACTGCAGGTGAAAACCAAGTGGTCAATTAAACTCTACTGTTTAATTTCCGACCACAAAAGTGTTTTATTGAACAAAAAAAAAGAATTGATTTGTTTTTTATTATTACAGAACGAATTGGGTCAAAAAATGACACTCTTTTTTAATAATAATAAAAATGCGAATATAAAATATTATATAGATCACATGTCCGGCATATGATTGGACGGCACTTCGATAAATCCGTTTTATTTATCATAAAATTTTGGTCATAGATTTCACAATTTAACCACAGTTTAGGAGTTTGCCCATAGTTTAGGTAATTTATAAGTTTCGTCACTAGTTTAAGAGCCTAAATTCCTAATTTCTATAGATAAACTATTTCAGATTTAAAATAATTTCAGCCACCATCACTACACAAAACACAATCATGATGTGTGTATGAACTAATTCAAACTTTAACCACATATAAAACTCTTTATTTATTGCATGAAAACTTTGAAATTTTTTAATTTTTAATGTAACATCAATGCTTCATAACTAAAAAGGTTTTGTTAGCTAATAAATTGTCATGAATCATGTTTGCACCATGGATTGAGACTTGCATCACGAATTGCATCTTGTGTCAATTGTATAAAATTACGATAGATAGTGCAATGCAATTTTTAGGATTTTTATTGCAATTTAATAATTTTGACCTCAAGTATAATTCGTACAGTCCAAAAAGTTTTCGGGTTTCGGGTTGGGTTCAGGTTTTTCGGTTCGGTCCCAACCAACAACCCGAACATGAATTGGGCCCGACCCGAAAACTTTCGGGTTAGCCCGCCCGTTTCGGAGATTTAGAAAGCACTTCTAAGTTAGATAGAATAGAAGAACCCTCTACCTTAGCATTGAAAAGAAGTTAAAAGAACAAAAAGAAAGAAAAATAAAGATGTTAAGAAATTGCTTTACTGAAAGAAACTCATCAAAAAGAAAGAGTTAAAAAAAGAAGTTGAAGAAGCAAATTGAATTATTGGTTGATCATTTGAAAACTAAAGTTGAGGAAGAAGAAAAAGTTGAATTTCTATCTAAGGTAATATCCCTGACTGCAATATAACCAGAAATACATATTATATTGTTTTAAATGAGATATTTAAAATTATTTCGTCAGGCCATCAAGGCTTGACAGAATTGAACCTTGGTCTTTTTCAACGGGGTCTTTTTATAATTTAAAACCTGACATCTAAATATAATTATTTCTGGAAGCATATATATCAGTATAAACTAAATATGTTTGCAGATCTATAATAATTGCGGCTTGGCAAAAAACAATTGCTTGCTCCCATCTTATGTAACTAACCTTCTAATAAACGCAGCAATCTCCTTGATTTGGTTCTTCCAATAGACTGTGTGAATGTTTTAGGGATCTTTTTCGAAAAGAACTTTTCCCAATTGGAGAGAGTTCCCAGGTAGTGTAAGTATGATCCCAATAACAAAACGTATGTATATATTTATTAGAATCGGTGATTTGATTCTTGGATTTAATGATGATAATACTTTGAATATTTGTTGTATATGTATGTAGGTAAGTTTCTCTACCTGATTGGTTTCTTTCGATTTGAATTTCCTACTAAAGAGTAACTTTTATTTCGAACATTGTTACTTTCATCACGGGAAGACGACGACAATGATTGTTGCCTCGGTAATGTCATTAATTCTTTTTTTTTCTAATTGGTATACTTTAGGAAAGTATTGAAATTGTTATTTACGCAACCCTCCATTATTTATTATTATTTATTTTGCTGTGTAATATGGATGTTATTTATTTTTTTTTAATTTGAAACATATAATTGTAAATCCCAAGTTATTATAAATTTTAGGGGAGTGTTAATGCTTATTTTTGGGGTGGTGAAAGATAAACACTAGCTTAAAATTTTTAATCTAAACCAAAAAGTTCATCCATCATCAGATTATTTATTATACCACACACACATTTATTATTATTATGAGTGATAATAATCATGTGTTTGTCAAATTTACCACTTGTACTATCATGTGATATTTAATGCTCAAGATCTACGACGTTACTCACTCTCAATATTATTATAGTACTGGGAAAAAAAAAGAAAAAATTATAATAAAGGATAATAATAATATATATAATAAATAAAACTAACAATATATTATTATTATTATCAATCTGTTAATTTATTTAATGTGAAAAAATGTCAATAGAATTAGCAGTAGGCTCAAGGTGTGAAATTCAAGGAAAAATTGGAACAATTCGTTTTGTTGGACATACTGCTTTTTCTCCTGGTAAATGGTTTGGAGTAGAATTGGACGAGCCATTGGGGAAAAATGACGGCTCAGTTAATGGAAAGCATTATTTTAAATGCGAGGAAAAACATGGTGTTTTTATTAGGACTTCACAAGCTAGACCTTTATTGACTCCAAATGCTGCACAACAAAGCCAAGTGAGTTATTTTAGTAGCTGCAGTACCTTCATCATATATTATATAATATGAATGCATAATATTGCGTATTGTGTATATAGATAGTATTTATTATTATCTATCAAAATAATATATTTTTTAAAAAAAAAATAATAAATTTTCATTCTAACAATAATTAATTAGACACCGACAAATTTTGCTCCACCAAATGAACCAGCAACAAATGGCCGATCAAGTAGACCAGCATCTATTGTAGGATTACCAAGCAAGATAAATGTCTTGGGGATGTCTAACAGGTCTTTGAAAGGTCCAACTTCACCAACAAGCGGAAGATTTAGTAGTAATAGTAATAGTAATCGTGCCACAAGTCCTACACTTTCTAGAAAATTAAGAGGAGTTTCTGATGCTAGTATTAATAATGTGGATTTAAAAAAGCTCACATCTGTTGAGCCAGATTCTTTGGATCCAGAGGAAGAATTTTCTGAACTGCTTGGTGATTCTTTAACTGGAGAACATTCTGAAAGTAATAATGTAGGATCAGAAGCAAATAAGGCAACAGAAATATTGAAAACACAAGAGGCTTCATCAATTTCTCAAGATCCGTTCTCTTTGCAAGAAGCATCTGCATCACGCGAACAAGTAAGTTTTTTGAATGTATTTGGAAACCTTTTTTTTCATTGGTTGATGCTAAAATATATATATAAACATCTGTTTGTACGTAATTTTATAAGATGATTCCATTGAAAGATTATGAGGAATTACGTCTAAAACTTAAAATATTGGAAAATAAACGACAAGAAGATCGTGAAAAGCTTCGTGAAAACGAAAAGCTTAAAGTTGAGGCTGAGCAATTTTTGCTTATTAAACCAAAGCTTCAAGGTGTTTAAATTACAGCATAATAAAATTTTTAAATTAGTTTTTATATGAATAATTATTAATAAGGATAATATAATTTTTAAAATAATTTACAGTAAAGGTGACAGAAATGCAACAAGAATTGCGTGATCTTAAAAAACAATTCAAAGATGTTACAACAGAAAAGGATGTTTTAGAAAATAAATATAACGAAGCAGTTGAATCAATGGAGATGATGACTCTTGATAAGGAAGTGGCAGAAGAAAAAGTAGATAATTTACAACATGAAGTTAACATGTTAAAAGAAAAAATTGAAGAAATCAGTGTTGATTTGACTGTTTTCAAGCAAGAGGGTGGTAAGTTAATTATATATTATATTCATGTGTATTAACCAATTAATTGGTTTTTTTTCCTTTATCTCTTTCTAACAAAAATTTGATTTCTTGCTAGATATGGTTAACCAAGGTGATGGAAGTGGTGAAGCTAGACCAACTTTAGAAGTTATTCAACTTGAAAAGCAAAATGCAAGATTAAGAGAGGGACTTGCCAAGTACATAGTTGAAATTTATTGTTGTATCTTGCTAAAGAACAAGAAAACCAAACGATATTTTATTTTGCTAATAAAAAATTCATATTATAATTAGGCTTCGAGAAATTACAAGTGAACAAGAAGCAGAATTAAATAAAAAAATTAAAACTTTGGAGAAAGATTTGACTTCCCTTCAAGATATACAAGGTTATTATTATATTATATTAGTTTAAACTAGATGATATATTATTATTTTAGTTTAGTTAGATTATACATGTTCATAATCAGTTTATTAATTATTTTATTTATTTTTAAAAAAAAAACTCCTATTTATTTAGCACATGCTGAACAAATGAAACAGAAATTGGCAGTAGCAGAAGTTCAAATTGAGGATTTGAAGAATCGTTTGGATGATGCATTAGGTGCAGCAGACATGTTTGAAGATCTTACTGAAAAGAATTTAATTCAAGGAGAAGTAAGTTGTTTTTTGTTTTATTAAATTTTTATTGATGTGTTAATAATAATAATAATATTATTATTATTATTATTTAGAAAATTGAAGAAATGAGAGCGACAATTGACGATCTTGAAGCTTTAAAAGAATTAAATGATGAACTTGAAGAAAGTCATATTGAAACCGAAAAACAATTGCAATCTGAAATTGGTAGATTTTTTTTGGATTATTTATTATTATTATTATTATATTTTTTATTTTAATTATTTCCTTCATTAATGTTTTCTAGAGCAAAAGGAGATCTTAATTAGTGAATATGTTAGAAGGATTGAAGCTGCTGATGAAGCAAATGCTGATTACGAAAATACAATTAATCAATTCCGTGAACTCGTGGCTAACCTGCAAAGGTAAATAACATTGATATAGCAGAAAGTTTATCATCATTATCATCGTTAACCTAAAAAATTTATATGAAAAAAATTTTATTAGTGATTTAGAACAATTACGTCAAAAAGAAGAAAGTCAATCATCAGAATCAAAGAATCTTAGCAGTCAATCTTTAGCTATGATGAACTTAAATCATCAATTAAAAACAACAGTTTTAAAAGCACAAGGCAAACAAATTGATTTAGAATTAAGAAAATTGGATGCAGCACAGGCTTCAGAAAATCTTGCTTTTGTACAGGTACATACATACGTTTATATATTTAATAATCTACAAGAATTATATGTAAACCATTAATATTAACAACTTTATTTTATTTTCTAAACACGCATGTTTATTTATTGTGTGTTATAGCCATATTTACCTGAAACTTTCTTCCGAACAGAAAATGATTCTATTCGTTGTTTACTTTTGTTGAAACGTATTATATTCAAATCTGATTTAATTGTTAAACAGATTGATCAAATACATAATATTCCAGAGAAATTAAATACAGTTGTTCCAGAAAAATTGATTTCAGTTTGTGAAGTAAGAGCAAACATTAATAATGATAACAATAATATATTAAATAACTTTAATTATGCAATCGATATTAATCAATTTAATATTTAAACAAAACCAGTTAAGACAAAAATTGGTATGGTTTTCTGATTTAGCAAAGCGATTTGTTTCATTTATCAATAATTGTCCAGTTGAAATATTCCTTAGGATGAGTCAAGTTTATCATGATTTAATTGGAACAGAAAAAAGGTTTTGTAATGTTCTTTCTATATATAATATATATAATAAATGATTTGCAGATTGACCGATAAATTATTATTATTGTTACCATTTACGACTTTAGGATTCATAATATACTTGATTTATTAAGAAACGAAAAACTCAAAGAATCTGATCATATTGTTGAAGTTCAAAGGTTAGCCTTACTATATTTCAATGTAAAAAAAGCTTTTCTAAATAATGTTTATTAAATATATTCATTATTACTCACTACAACACAATGTAGGGCAATTGCTCAACTTGAGCATTTAACAGAGCTTTACCTTTCAAACACCAAGTTTGGTGAATCTGATGAATTTTATGCTTATGGTAACGCATTGAGAATGAATGCTGATACTATTGCAGTAACTCTTGGACATCTTAAACAGGCAGTAGCTCTTGCATGTAAAGATGAAGGTTAATTTTGTCTATTTTTTTATTTTATTGATTTGAATTTAAAATATAAATTCATCAATATAAATATCAAGTATCATGCATATGTGTATATAACATATATATTTCTACTATACATATATATATATATATAGAGATTAAAGTACAAGATTCATCTGAAGCATTTAACGAACAGTTCTTCTCACCATTACAGACTTTGGTTTCACAATCAAGAAGTAGTAAGGTTATGGTCAAAAAAATGTTGGATAATTTAGACGTTTTGGCAGGAAAATCATCGGTTTTGAAATCAGAATTTTTATCACAATTTAAAATATGTTATAAATTAAGCATGAAATTAACTGGTTTTGGTCAAGAGGTAATTTATACAAGTACAAATTGTCAGATAACATTTTTGACATTTATTCTAATTTATTATTTTAATTTATTATTTGAACCTGAAGGTAGTGAAAGGTATTTTAGCGTTCATTAATGAAAAGAAAGATACCAAAGAAGAGTTATCACTTGTTGGCATAAACAAAGTTATATATCAAATTACGGAAAGTAAATTGGAGATTAATGAAATGACCGTGTGGGAAGGATGCACAAAAACATTACAAACGTTATGCCAAGAAATAAACAATTTGAGTAATATTGCTAATGATTCTGATAACGTTGTCGCAAGTAAGTTTTTTTTTTTTTTAATTAGTTTTTTTCAATACACTATATTTATAAATTTGGCTTTTTTGGGTGATAGTTGCTAAAGACGAACAACCATGGGTTCTTAGAGCTAAACAATTAAAGGCAGAAGCACTTGTAAATCTTGATATGGAACGTAAAGTTCAACAATTAGTTGAAGAAACTCGCGAACTGAAAAAAGAAATTAAATTAAAGGTAAATAAATATACAAATAAATGCGTTGGTGCATTGTGACACATCTAAATTTTTTAATTTATTTAAAAAAAAAATTATTATAGGAACAAGCTTTACAAGAAGCTGGAATTAAGATTGATTTATTAGAAAGACGTATGGAAACATTCAAAAGACAGGTATTTTTTTTTTTGAAATATAATATATACACACACACATATAATTCATTCAATTCATGTTTTACTATATAAAATAGGCCGACATTATTAATTCTTTGGAACAAGAAGTTGCAAATTCAAGAAAACATGAAGCCGTTTTTGAAGAAGCAATGGAAAGCTTACAACAAGAACTTGACAATCTGGAAAAACAAAATAGACCATATCATGATGTTGCAATTAAAATTGGAGAAGAGGGAATTACTCCACAACCTCACAAAGATGGTGTAGAAGATGAAATACATCACAAGAAATCTAGTACATTCTTTGAAAATAATCCATTAGAACAACAAAGACTTACTAGTCAGGTAAATATTATTAAAGGAATCTTTTTAATTTGTAGCTTTATATATTAAAATATATTAAATTTGTTATATATATGTGCGCATGTAGGTTGAATCGCTAAGATTTGCTGTTCGATACCTTCGTGCAGAAAATACACATTTGAAGGGCAAAGATGCATTAAATATTTTAAGTTGGCATTTAAATTCAAAGAAAGCATCATTGGAGCATGACAAAGATGAAGAAGAAGTAATTAAAGCTATATCATCAGAAGCAAGAGCCTTACTTAAGGTATTCAAATCAATATTTTTTTTTGGAATTATTTATTTTAAACATGTAAAGTTCTAATTATAACTTATTATAACTTATTATAATTAGGATTTCCGAAATGTCAGTGCAACACCTCGTGTTATTGATTTAACTAAATCTTACGAAAAACGTAATAAATGGCAACCTTTAAATAAAAAACCAGGATATCAATATCAAACACAACAATCAGTTTTGTATACATTACAACAACGATCTAATGAATTAAAAACAAAACTTCAAAAACTTAGCAAGGTCACTACCAATCATTTGCCAAAAACACCAAAAGTAAGTTTTTAATCAATTTATTATTTTATTATTCATTATGCATGTATAATTTATGTTTATTTATTCATTATAGGGTGCTAATATTCTAACAACAAATCCACCATTTATTGGACGTATTCGAGTTCCAATGTTACCAAATACTGAAAGTTTAGAAAAGGCTGGGCCTAAAAATTGTTTTGTTCATAATATTAAACTTAAGAATCCTTCAGATTTCGAAAAGATTCATACAATTTTCGTAAATTAACTCTATTTTATATCAGATCAATTATATTTATTATATGTTACTTCATATTCATTCATACAGGTTATTATTTATGTTATATATATATAATATTATTTAAAATAGATGTATATTAAATTATTTTTTCCTGGTTTTTTTATGACAATATAATTTTATTTTTTAATAAATTTTGCATTTTCCCTTATTAATTGGGGCATGCTGCAACAAAACCAGACAAAGTGAACATTGGTGTTATCAAAATTTAGTCATTTGTAATGTGATTATATAATTCAGTATAGTGTAAAACATGTAATAGTAATTATTAATACTAAATTTAGGAGTTTAATTCAATAATTTATTTAGAGATTTTGGAATAGTAATAGTAGTTGAAATTGTATCAAAATTGTTTAGAAATAACATAGTTGTTTTATGTTCATTCATAAGAATGCCAAAAATGCCAAAATCATTGTTTTAGGAAAAAATAAATTTAAAATATAATTTATTAAAAATGTTATTTATAATTTAAAAATTTTTTATTGTTATTGATGACCAATTTAATTAACTTTGATGATATCCACCTATATTTTGTCCATTCATTTATTTATTCCTTCAATTGATTGTTGACAATATGCTTATCAATTACATTGATTTTCATCAGATTCTACATTTTTTACACCATCACAATTACAAATATTACCTAAACTTTCATGCTGTTCTGATTTTTCATCTATATTTGTTCCAATAGCATGTGTCACAATAGGTGTCAATATAATATTATTAAAAAGATGTTTAAGAACTCTCAATAGCATTAAATTATTAGAATAATATGGACCACATTTATAGATCAAGAGTTTTCCATCAATTTTTTCTCCTTTGAAGAGGAACCAGACTAAACCATTTGTGAGTATGCAATAACCAATATTAATTTGGAAGCGATGTTCAAGATTCTCCACCAGATCATCCAGTGGTCCTAAAACTTGTGGCAGTCTTTTTCGCCAAGCTCCAGCATCCAAAGTATTTAGAGCTTTCATTTCAACAGTGGCTCTTTTGACCAAAGAATTTCTCTCTGTTATTTGCAAATCATCATGGCCTTTGAATTTAAATCAGTCTGACTGAAATTTATGTTGTTTTGTATTTAAGGCAATAGGAGAGTATACTAATAATCTGTTCAGAATTGTTGTTGCATCACCAGTTAAGAGAATTTCATTTGTTCCAATTCGACTTGATTCAACTAATGTTAAATCAGCTGAAATAGAAGCATGGATAGTTTTCAGACCAATATCGTAAAGTCTGGAAAGATAGCACCCCCTACTTTAAAACAATTGAGCGTCAATATAAAAAAAATGTTACACATGTGTAAAAAGGGGATGCTATCTTTCCAGACTTTACGGTATCTGCTTCATCTGGAAAACCTTCTTCATTCTGTGGTTTCCAATTAAAAATCACATCAGCCACCTTTTCAAATTTGGATGGATTTGCAGAGCTAGCATTAGAGTATATGTCCAATTCAGGAGGGTTTTGGATTCTTTCCAACACCTGTTTTGAAATAGTTTCAGCAAGTGTATTTATCCAAATTGCTTCTGATAAGAAAGTCAACAATATGGAACAGGTGTTATTAATAGAATCAGTAGATAGACAAATGAAAAGAATGGAGGAATGGAAACAGAAATGAAAGGAATAAAAAATATGTTAATTGTGTAGAAAAGATCATAATTGAAATCAATATGAATATAATAATAATAGACGAATGAAATAAAATTGATTTTTGTATATTAATTATGCTTTATACCTGTGTCCTCTGCTATTAATTTATTTTGTAACTTCTGAGTCTGTATTTCCCAAGAATTTTTCTTTAACCTCAATTCTTCCTTCTCCTCTTCTAATTCTTCCATTTCAACTACCCACATTGACATTTCATTTTCATTACTATATTTTTTTCCAGCTAGATTTATCTTCAATTTGCACAATCTTTCCAACTTTTCAACGTATTTATCATAATTTTTACTAGCCCTTTCTATTTCGGTTTTTATATAAATCTGTTTTTGATTATAAAAGAGTTTAATTTAAATTGATTAGGTGAAAGAGATGAAGGAAGAGCAGAAAATCATGTAATATAAAAATCAATAGCTTAGTTTACATTTAATTTAGATTGTTTTCATTTTGTGCGTGGTTCATCTTCTTTTTCATTTTCCTGCAAGTTGGAAATTGTATTAATTTCAAATATCAATCTTACCACATTCAAAGAGAATATAACCTACTTTATTATTGTCACTAGTAGCCAATGGTTTTTTTATGCATGCTGTTGAACTATTTTTTTTTTGGCATTTTGATATTGTAAAAAAAAATATTTTTAATGTATAAACTAGAGTAATGGGTGGTGGCAATAAAACCACCTTTTAATGATATTTTTTTTTCTTTGTAAATTTTTCTTTGTCATCTTTAAAAAGAGAAATTATTGTTATTTGATCAACATACATGTACACATACTAATATAAGAGTATATAGACATTCAGTACTGTACTCTTTTGCATTCCTGTACTGTATGGTCTACAAAAATAGAATTTTTTTTAAA